AGCTCGAAGTGTCCATGCTTGTTACGCTGATGGTATTCTCACTCTTTATGATTTCGTAAAAAATAGATAGTTATTAAGCCGGAATTTGGACAATAAGGAGTGGTTTCTTTAGATAACAAGTCGATAAATAACACTATATAAAGTTAATGTTTTTATCTTTTCATTATTTATTAATTACAAGCAAAATTTATTATCTCTATTTGATTATTTAACACTATGAAAGAAAAGCACTTATTACTTTTATATTATTTATATCAAATTGATTTTTTTTTATTCCAATAGTATTAACTGTTTGAATTTAATAAGAAGGTGTACTTGGTTAAGAATAATTCTCATTAAGACTAAAAATAAAAAAATGTTAATGAAGCTATTCCCAGACACTATTTGCCAAGACATGATATTAGTGGAACAGTCGACAGCTCAGTTACATTAATAGGTAATTAGCACACCATCGAACCCGCCTATTCAGTAGATTCTGTCGTGTAAGCGGGATCTTTTCCACGCGTGATCCTTTTTCTAATCACGTACAAAGAACTTAGTACGGTTTACAAAAAAAAAGCCAACGAAATTTGTAGCTAGTGATTTCTGATCGTTTATGCGGCACGATGCACAAAGAATGATAAATATGATGAAAAGAACGGAGGAAAGCGCTCCATTACGCGGATCTCTTCGTTGAATTTTCGTCGCGTTATATCTCCGCTCTTTTATGGCAAAGAAGGAGGGGCGTACAGCGAGAACTGAAAACATGATTAAAGATTCTCCGATGTGGGAGAAAATGGATTTCTGATACGCGTAATGCCACCCTATTTGGAACTATTACGCGTGAGTCCCCGAGTAAGCCCCCTATATCCATTCAGCCCCTGCTGGAAATATATTTACTAGATCAGAAGGTACTTACTTGCGACTTGGCACCCGCACCAGCGCGCAGTACCGGGTGGCATGTAAACAAGGAGAAGCGAGAACTTGTAATTTTCTCTCAAATTAATTCTATTTTCCCTCAAATTAATCGTACTAATATGTGTTATATATTAGAATAAGACAGAAATTAAATTTATACATCGCGAATGTGCTAGAAACATGCCAGCGTTCCAGTATTTTATATGAAAAGATAAAACTTTGTGCTTATTTATTTTATATAATATACATGTATGTAATTAATACGTAAATCAACGAAGTAATTGCACGCTTATAAATCACATTCATCACGTAGAGCGTGAATTTTTTTTATTTTGGTCACCGTCGATGGTTTTCGCAGAGAAAAGAGTATCGGCGTCGCGGTACGGCGAGAAAAATCGCTAATTGGTACATGGAAAATATAAACAAAACCGCCGTGCGAATGCCGATGATTTACTGCAAGGTTTGATTGAATTCATTCGACTCTGTTTACTCGCTTGCTGCTCGTACAACTCTCACCCTTCACGGCTTCCGATATTTAGCCTTTTTTTTTCATTTATATCGTTTATTTTTTTCCTCACTCGCGCTCGTTCATCCGTTCCGACGTTGCAAAGTTGCTCGCTGTAAAACTGGAAACAGGGAACGATACGAACGTTTCCTGCTACAAGCCGCCACTCTCCCCCTGTCGTCCCGTTGCAGCCCCCGACCCTCACTTCACCGCCTACTGCTTCGTTTTATTCTATTTGATCCAAGGGAATGGAAAGGTATGCGAGCTCCGAAGGGTAGACTAGAGGTATGATTTTGCAATCGAATCGCCTCTGTATATTTTCCTCCGTGTCAATTCGTTAGCGAACGCGAACAACCGGAAGACTTCAAACGGACTGCTATAAAAACGATTTTAGTTTAAAGTTATAGCGATGTTGATACATTAAAATAAAACTGCTTGCATAAAAATTAATTAAATAAATTTTTAATTTTTCTTTCTACAAAAAAATTAACTGTTCTCGTGCATATAACACACACACACACACACACACACACACACATTCAAATCATCATATATTTAATTACACAAAACACTTCCAGCTATTTCTACAACGAAATTTAATAACATTATTATAATAAAATTCGTTATACCTATCATATAATATTAAAGTTAAAAATATCAAATACACTTGATGCGATTATCGCAATGTGATTAATCAAATAAATTGCCTTTAAAATAGCTGGAGAATATAAATTATTTATATATATTGTGAAAAATCGATAAGAGCAAAAGAAGATCTTGCAACTGAAATGGAAAGCATTTGACTCGAACTAATATTTCAATAACATAATGTATCTACCGGGTATCCTAACAGCAGTCCAGAATAGATTCTTCCGAGGAGGCTGACGCAAGCTCGCGAAGACCGACGACGGAAGAGAAAAATCTAATAGACTGTCGGAATCGAATTTGATCCCCTGTAAGAAACTAGCCCTTCCTGCACGCGCTCGCGTTACAACACCATCGATACTGCCGCCCCATCGAGTCCGGAATGAAATCCAGTTCGCATTTGAATCAGTCTGTAACGCAATCCATTAGTCCCTAACAGCCAATACTTCGAGGACGCGTGGAAGGAAACGACCTCGTGTAAGGGAAAAAGAAAAAGGAATAAAGTGGCACAGCAGCGGCGCGACCGGGGTGTCGTAAATGATTAGTGTTGCCGATGAACGAATCCCATAAAAAAAAAGACCGAAGATCTATAGCCCACCTATCTTTCCTTTGCCGATCCTGGCAAGCGCGCCCTTCCTCTCTCTTCATAGAACTTTCCCGCGTAAGTAGGGTCATTTTGTTAGCGTCAAATTCTAAAAGCGGATCGTCCGATTTCTTTGCTGGAAGCGGTGGGCGCAGAATTCTGCTCCAAATATTTCAATCGCCTTGGGCTTTCTCTCTCTCTCTTTCCATCTAAATATTTAAATTCTTCTTTTATTGTTAAATTCCTTAAAGTATTTTTTCCCCGTTTTTTTTTTTTATTTCTCCACGTTTGATCTGCATTTTATCAATAATAATATAAAATATTTAGAGACTTACAAGACACTTAATAGATACACGTGGTTTGTATCGAATGATCGGAGGAAACGCGACGTAGATGTTGCGCCGCGTTTTATTAAATAACGCGGTGACGCACGATTTCAATATAGATACAAAGTGAAACGTTCTCGATTCGAGGGCGGTTACCGACTCGTTTCCGTTGTCGTCGACATCGTTAAAGGGGCGGCTTCGCGCCGTTCTCGCAATAGCGTAGGTGCAAGTACGGTCGATGGTATTCCTATCTGGAAACGACTAGAGGCAACATCGTTGTCGGGCGACGCCTCAGGCGCAACGAAGATATCGTGTTTAGAGCAAGATCCACGGCCGCGATAAGCCAAGGTACAATGCTTTGAATACCCATCTAGCATCGTGATAGCATCTTAACGTTCTCTAAGAGTAAACGAAATTAAATTCGCTCGACACTGCAAATGCGCAGAAACGCGCGCGACATTAGTCTGAACACTCTCGCGTGCGAATACCTGAGGTCCACGGCTGGATGCGAAAACGCGTGTACCATGAGATCGATACGTTTCTTTCCCTTTCTCTTTCCATATCGTCGAATTCCCGCCCTCTCCTGCACGCCATCTCACCCCTCGTTCTTCGCTTCACTCAGCCGGCGCATTTCCTTCCGTGACGAATGCGTTTTGTTTTTACCTTTCACTTTTGAGCTTTATAGATTTTCCGGCAAACAAGAGACTTCCGGCTATCGTCACGGATGACGGCAAAAAAATTGCCTTTATTCAAATTTTTATAAATAACCCAATCGCTTGCACACAGCGCTATACTTGATCAAAATTTTGATTTTGTGAAAAAAATTACTCGACACTTCGTCTTTTTCTACGTTTCGTGTATCGACATGCGACGTCAAAATTAAGCTAGGATTAATTTAAATGTATACTAAATCGAGAAGTATCGATGACTCTTTTGCAATTTTGACAATCTATGAGCGTGAGAGACGAACGTAAACGTGCAGACAAGAAGGCGTTATTGCGAAGTATGCGTTTGATTTTTCCATGAAGTCCCGGTTCCCATGGACGCACTCTTCAAGGGGAATGACAATGGCGTCCCACGGGAGAAAAGCCTACCAGCCACGCAGAAAACTACCCCTCCTTCTTGCCAGCATCGTCGCCGGCGTCGTCTCGGCCCTCCTGATTGTTTCCTACGCGTTTTTTCTCAGTAGATCTCTGGCGTTCTAGCTACCTGATCTTCAGAGGATTCTCCTCGTCTTTCAGTCAACTCCTTCCATTTTCTCTCTAGGCGTAAACAGAAATACCCTGCGTCTCAAAAAAATTTCTCGAAATTCCATATTCCCGATATTTTACATAATTCATGAGAAATCAGCCGGCGGCTTTTTGGCAGGATCCCACGTGCACATATCTTCTCGTCACAAAATTCTATCTCTTACGTCATTTCTGCGTAGGATATTTATAAATATCTAACATATCATTTTTAACGTATAATTTTTAATTAATTTTATTTTACATTAATTTTATTAGCAAACAATAGGGTAAAAAAATATTGCATATAAATCAGTTGACTGAAAAGCGAGGGAGTGTTATTAATATGTAAAATTATGTTAAAATATTACTTGCATGTTAAAATGCTGCCCCGTAATAATGTTTCCGCAAATGGAATAAACAGATGTTTAACTTACTATAAATATTTATCTATAAAAGTAATGTAATAAAATCGAAAATAAAAAAAAAACGTAGGCTTGTAATTATAATGGCAGTATATATTCCGTCATAAAAATATAGTTAGGAAAATGTCTTTTGACATTGTGACAGGACAATGAAGTAGCCGCGTATTTTCGGAACACAATGCCGCACGGGCCTAAAGGTCGAGAGGCACGTAGTCAGAGGTTTAATCTAGAGAAATGCTGAATAATAGAAGAGAGTGGAACGGGGCTCGCGATTGGCTTATACAATATTCAGCCTCGCTTTTCCGGCCAAGTTCGCGTTCTAATTAAGTTCCCAGCGTTGAAGAGCGTTAAGCACCTTGTCAACCGTTTAACTCCGGTCCCCTCTGCTTGCAGATTCTTCCTCAAGTTCTTTCTCAAGTGTAACCAAAATTGCCTCAAGAACGCTGGCAATCCACGCGACATGAGACGTTTTCAGGTAAGTTGTTTATGCTCGCTGTTAATTAACTTTAAATATAAACTTGCACAGTTTATACGCCAGTGTGTCTCATATTTTAAAAAGAAACATTATTTGGATAGATGCATTCTTTTTTCTTAATATTAATCCATCAGTGGCGAAAAGAATCATTAATAACCATGGAAGTACAATCTGTATTATTTATTCGGCATTGATCTTTTCTTTGCCTAACATGATTTACGACTTTGCTTGAGATTCGGTTAATCGCTTCCTGCTTTCCGCCCACTTGATTCAAAAACGTTTCAGGTTGTACCGCGATGCTGAAATGCGCACTACGCGAGACACTTCCGTCATTCGAGTCACGATCCGCGAAATTATAGGGGCGGACAGACGGAGACGAGAACGCCGAAATTCCACCGCAACATCGTGTGACGCGTATCATCGCATAGAGCATCCTTCTTCGTATAATTTCTGCATATTTGCGAAACTCTATCATCTGATCTGATCTAAAAAAATTAGCTTTTAAATATGAAAAAGACGATAATTGCAAAACAATTTCTTGACAACTATAATTAAAAGTAAATGTTTCCATTTAATCAAAGTGTAATAACTCGAACAATTGGCGATTAATTTTTAACACATTATCTGTTCCATCACTACACTTGTTTATCTGTTATTTTTCGCAATCATCATTTCTATTTACCAACAGCCGTATCACTCTCCATCAAGATAAAAAGCAGAATTTAAAAATAAACTACCATATATTGCGATGATTCTAACAGTTTTTCTCTCTGCAACTCAGTTTTTTCCATATTGTTTGCCTACTTTAGTTGTTTTTTTGCGCACGGCAACAAACTGAAATTAGAATACTCATCGCACTTTCGAATTTGCCTCAAAATTGCTTACTGTCCAAAGTTGCGAATTAAAATTTTAGTGCGGTCTTCGCGAAAATTTTTCGCGTCGCGGAGCAGCGGAGTGTACGCTATCATCGCTTTACCCTAAGTTGGCGGCGAACGTTACTCGTCGAGTAATATCACCAGCATGCGAGAAAGTTGCGAAGTTGCGAAGGACAAAACTTTCGGGCGTTCTCTAGCCGCCCGCTCGATTTTATAAACGTTCCGCCCGCTTTACCGCAAAAATCTTTTCAACACCCCAAAGCGCGCGGGGAAACGGCATAAATGTTTAAACGAGTAATTTCTTCCAACTCACAAGTTTATGAAGACTTCGAAAATAATTTATATCGCGTTTTGTATTAATTGTACGGAAAAATAATTGTCTACATATGCTTTAATATTCCTACATAATTATATTTCTACTTTTGCACAATTATATCTAACGATTATATCTGTGTCACACGTCGTACGTGCAAGGCACGAATTGCATATCGTAGTACTCGGTGCGGCAAATCGAGTTGTGCATGCTCATTCACGAGAGATATGATGAACTTGGCTAGGTATATGACGTGCATGAGAGAAGTGCAATATGATTCACGATAACGTCTACCGGTTGGCATACCTTTCTACGCTCTATTAACTTAGATATAAACGATATTATACGCGGTGATAAATTGCACGAGAATGTTTTTTATTTATTAATTATAGCATTTTTCCTGTATCACGAATGCGTCTATCATATTTCTTATCATATTTCCTAAAAAGTATCAAATGTACACCCTAGCAATGAAGTTTAATTAATAATTTTCATGAAGGTATTCTCAAATTATAAGATTTTGTACTTTAAATTAGCAAGCGTTTAAATGTGGAATAATTTTGTTATTAGTCGCTGATATTTGATTTAATTGTCACTATCTCTCTTGCTTCTTTTTAATTCGGCAAATTTCTATTTTGTCTAACAGGTGGTCATTTCTACACAAGTGGGAGTGGAGGGACCATTACTTGCGGTCTCGGACAATATGTTCGTTCACAACAACAGCAAGCACGGGCGCAGAGCGAAACGTTTGGACCCCAGTGATCCTGGCGAGTATAATAGTAAGCATGATCGATAAATACATATCAATTACTCAAGGGCCGTTAAAGAGATAATATATACGAAACAGAGCATCGATATCGTCTGCATATTTAACCGCGAAACTGCACGAGCATTTGCACGATAATTCGATTCGCCCGTAAACACAAACTGGCCCGCCGTACAGTTTTTCGTTATTTAATTTTGCAGTTAGCTGCTGCATTCCCTCGCGGAAATTGCAGTCGGCCTTTGCCGTGCTAACAAAACACTCGCAGAAAATATGATAATTAATTAACGAGCGATAATTAAAAAGCCCGGTGCGCGCATTAAACGCCCTCATTTATTCAACGCATCGATTTTTCACGGCTGATGTGATTCACGCGCGTAAGCTTTCAGCGCTCGCCGATCAAAATCGACTTTCCGAGCGATTCCCGTTCGAGGCATCGCAATTCGAATGCTCGCGGTGTGTTGTTTCCCTCGTGCGGCGCCTTTCGACGGCGGGGGGATGAGGTCAGTTTTCTACGGGATCGGTATAACGACTCCGGGGCTCTGCGGCAGGGCGGAATCGTAGGAGGGGGTGCGAGAGGGCGCATCGGTAGAATGGGATATATGGAGTCATAGGGCAATTCAGCAAAGTTTGGCGTCGGCCGCGCATACAAACGGCTGATATCGCACGGCTATCCCCCTCGACTGCTCGCTCCTCTCGCGCAGGCTTCTTTCTCCGTCTTTTCTTCCTACCTATGCCAAGACAAGATGTAAATCAATGGGATGCGGGAAAACGAAGGATCCACACACTCCCGCTCCGCGCTCCTTGTTCCTCGGTCTTATTTCCCTCCACTCTGCTCGCTCGAATTTCGCCCGAGTGCCTTGTCCTTTTTCTTCTCGCCGCGGCTTCCAAGGCTCTCTTTTCCGCCGGCCTCGGTTTCTTCTTTTTGCCCGGTTGGCTGCCGCGGAGCGCAAAGACACGGAAAGAAAGAGAGTGGAATTGGCCCGCTTCTCTCATTCAGTTTCCTCCTCTGTCGTTTTCGTGCTACCCTCCTCTCTACCCGTGGTTGCTGCGGCGCGTTGGTTTGTGAATGCTAAGTTTAAGCTATCTCGTGCCACCCTCATGGAGTCCCTGCGACGCCAATGAAGATACCAACACATTCACTCTTTCCAAATCCTCCCGCCCCCTTTCCGCCCACCCTCCTCCTTTCCGCTGTCCCCCTCAACGCCGAAACGAGCATACCAATGAGACACGAGGCGCGAGAGAAAGGGGAAGAGCGGAGAACGCCGGTATCTCGTGGATTTTGCTGTCATTGTGAACGAATTCTCCTGGTTTCTGTGCAAATCAAATCTTGATTGTCTATGAAATCTGAAACGCTTCCTTATAACTTGTCTTTCCAGATATACTTAGATTTTATATATGTTTTTCTTATTTGAAAAAAAACAGTATTTTTATTTTATTCACTTTTCTTTTTCGAATTTGATCTACAACACAAAAGAGGATTATAAAACAAAAACTAGTAAAGTGTTTGCTATCTTGAATATAAAAGATATTTTTCCTAATCGACACAGCTACATCACTTGTGAAATAAATTAATGTAGACCTGTTTGATTTGAAAAGTTGTCTCGAAATTTTGAAATTGTCTTGATTGCGCAACATTCTTGTAATAATATCTGCCTGCGCCAAGATAAAATCATTTTTTTTCTCTGCTAAATTTCTCGAGTCTTTACCACGGCAAACGAAGTTATCTCGCGATCTCACAGTGATCAAAGAGAATCGGGCCGAACGTGTCGGAGTACAACGGCTCTTCGACTTCGACGATAGTTTGGTAGCAAAAGAAGGGCTCGGAAGGGCTGGGAGTAACACCCCTTACCATTCAGTGGCGCGGGGGATTTTATTTATTCCGGGTTGGTACGCTTGTTCCTTGGCCTTCTCTACTGTGAATCCCTCTTTTCAATCCTCCACCTCTTCTTCTCCTCTTCACCTACCCACCGCGGCGGCCCACACCACGCCGCTCGACAATTCTCTACCAGAATGGTTGCCAACACGGCCGGTTCTCTTTAACGACGTTCTCGTACATTGAACGCAATAAATACCAATGTCCCATTGAAGAAACCCCATTTGCGTAAAGAACACACCGGCAACTCTTTAACGCCTTCTCTGTGATCGTCACTTGTTGAGGCTTGATATTTTACTTAACAATAATATCATTTGTATCAACTATAATAAAATTATATCACACGAAACAATTGTAATATAGATCACTTATTACAGAATTTATACTTAAAATAATATTAATGTAATACGTGATTGACAAAATACTTATTTTATTATTAGCCCGCATGAAAATTGCACCTTTAATAGGAGTAATTTTTTGAAAAATTACCGTCCTATCCAAGCAACATCTACAGAATATTTTTTAAGCACGTATATCACGATATAGACAACATTGGGATCTTTTAAGCCGCCGAGATTTATCGGTGTGACGGCATGTAAGCGCTCGAAGTGGAAAGTGTTTGAGCATCACTGGGAGCAATATACCATGATGTCAGCCACTCTGCCGTGGCTCCGCTTCGCCCAGGGTCGGTACCGGGGGTGGCTTGGCTTCGCCGGGGTACAAAATGATATCATTGGGTTATAAATTCCAAGCAGAGACACCGGCGGCCCGATCGCCCCCTTCCCCTTCCTTCTTGTTACAACCCTTCTCCGAGCTCGCCGACCCTCAGTCTCTTCCTCGTACTCTCTCTTTCTCTCGCCGTCTCATCCTCTTTCCACCGTTCTCCTTCATAGTTTCTCTTTCATTTTCCGCCTCTTTCCCACCTCCACGAGCCCACGACCTCGAAAACTTGCCTGCCATGCCGGAAAATATATCTGCCACTCGGCCTCAACCGAATAAACAGAATATTCAAATAATTTTCTATATCCCATTCTCTCCCTCTCGTCAGTCGCAAGTTATTTTTGAGATACTACTTGATTTTATCTCATTCTTAGCACATAGTTTTTAAATTATTTTTTATTTTTTTTTACGTCTTTTTATGGAAAGAACAAACAGATCGCTAATGTTTTTAAATGATTTAGTTTTAACATAATCGTTTCTTAAGCTGACAGAAAATTGTAACACCGTGCCGTGTAATTGAGATGCAAATAAAAATCTAATTATATAAGAAGCAGTAAAATCAACGAATATAGTTATTTTTATGTTATAAACTTAGGTCTATATCCGCCAATACCCCTACAAACGCCCTGTATAAAAGCGATATCGCCTAATGAAGGCTGGACATCGGGTGGATCTACGGTCATAATTATCGGTGAAAACTTCTTCGACGGATTGCAAGTCGTTTTCGGATCGATGTTAGTTTGGAGCGAGGTCAGTAATTCATATAACTATGAAAAATCTCAAACTCAATTAATATGACGATATAAATATTAATAATTTTTGTATTACAGTTTATCACTCCGCACGCGATCAAAGTGCAAGCGCCGGCGCGGCAAATACCAGGCGTCGTTGAAGTTACATTACATTACAAAAGCAAACAATTTTGCAAAGGGCAACCTGGTAGATTTGTTTATGTCTGTAAGTATGAGATGTCCGGTGCTTTTCACACAGAAAAAAATCCAATGCGAATATTATTGCAAAAAGATTTCAACACTGTCGGACCACGCAATAAGAGCAAAACGAATCTCTGCTGAATTTTGCAGCGGTAAACGAACCCACGATCGACTACGGCTTCCAAAGGTTACAGAAACTCGTTCCGCGGCATCCGGGTGACCCCGAAAAACTTCCGAAGGAAATAGTACTGAAAAGGGCGGCGGACTTAGCGGAAGCCCTTTATAGTATGCCCAAAAGTGGAAACATGGGGATCGCGGGAGCACCGAGAAGTCCCGGTTCGGTGCACGCACCCGCACCTCCTACATCTAGTTCGGCAGCGGCCTTTAATTCGTATACAGGGCAACTTGCAGTAACGGTGCAGGAAAATGGTAGTGCGGCAAAATGGACGGACGGTATGTAAAACATATATATATATCTATCGATATTGCTGTTGTGAAAACGACATTTGTATCGCCTTGATAGATATATTCCCTGTCGAATTTAATAGTAATATATTCTTCGCGCGCAATTTCTTGTCGAGAAAAATTTATCAATCGAGATAATGCAGTTATCTCCGAGTTACATTTATTAGGCAACTATTCACAACCTGAGCGATCATATACTGACGAGTTCGTCTGACGGGCAGGTTTCTATTTCTAGACGGTAGTTCCGTGACGACAGGAGCTGCTGCTGGCGGGGGAGGCAGCGGCGGCGGCGACGGCGGCGGTGGTGGCAGTGTCAGTGGTAACGTCGGCGGCAGCGCCGACGCCTACAGACAAAGTAGTAGTGCTAGTCCACGTGGCGTCGTAACCGGAGGTGGTTATTGCGGTAGTTCGGCCAGTACGCCACATAGTCACAGTACCAACGGAAGTTATTCTGTCGCGAATCCGTATACCGGCAGTCCGACTCTCTACACCTCGCGTAAGTATCTTTCTTTCTTTCCGCAAGCAACCTTCTGTATCTCATTATAAATCCGCAAAATCCAAGTTGTGCCAAGACGATGTATAGTTTGGCAAAATTATTTTTGAACACAATCCACAAAATCGATCAAGATGACAATAATGTAAGTGACTGTCGCAATAAAAGATTTTTACAAACGTTTGATACTTAATTAAGTAATCTAGATTTCTATTGAAATTTTCAACATTTATATCGTCGTCTAATTTTGTTTTGCGATTTTATATATAATTATTTTTACTGTTACAGTCAATATTAAAATACAAGCAATTTTATATAATTAGTGTCCGTACATAAGTTTTAATTAGTTTTATATTAAAAAAAAAAAGTCTTTGGCACAACTCGAAGAGAATTTAATACACGTATACACCCACGTATATATCCAACCTGCATGCGCTTTTTCCATTGATTTTTCGATGCACGCACTTATGATTTTTCCTTATGTGGAATTTTCGTTTTAGCGCACGAACAATACGGCATATTCTATACGTCCGGGGACGGGAGTGCGTTCGCCCCCGTAGTACGACCACCGACCACCTCAGTCCCACCGCACTGGTCCACACAGCACCACCTCGCCACAGCCGCCCAGTAACCGCTAACCGTCCACCACCACCAACACCATCATCACCATCACCTTATGCATTACGATTAAAGAATTATGAGAGACGGCATTTGACAATGTATGTACGCTCACTTAAGACGCGATAACGATATTGCCGATTTTTTAATAAGATTTAAGCACCGGCCCTTTTTTCATTAAACTTTTCGTGCCACCGTTGTGAAACTTTTACAATTCAATTAAAAATACTATGATTATAACGCTGCTTTAGCGAAATAAATCAAGAGATATGCGGGAAAAATTAATTTTGTTGAAATAAAATTGTGCTAACACAATACGTATACTGCAAAGCAGTTAAAAAATAATTATAATTGTTATAATACTAAATCTTTTACTTTACATCTGAAAATCGATGTATCTTTGATATGTGTTTTTCACCGTCCTATCATAAATTTGATTTTTTTAGATATGAAATTACTATTGCTTCTCACCGCTTATTTCTTATTTGTTGATTATACTATAGTGTTTAAGCAATAGCGCATTACTAATGTATAATCGACAGTGGGCATGTTGCAGGACTAGGAGAGGTGGTCGGATCACCCTTCAACATGAACCCATTTATGTTGCCCACCTGCAGCCAAGGATATTCAGCCGCTGCCAGCCCGCTACTTTCGTCAAACGGCAAATAGTGTTACGAGATGTAAGCTCCGACAAAGATGTAATGAACTATGGCTTTCGCATAGACATTGTACGATCCAACGAATTAACATGCGCGTCCGGATAATTATCCAAATAAATTATCTAGATAATTATCCGTTCGACAATCGTACATTGTTTTCGCGAATTCGCTTTGCATTACTTCAGTTGTGTCTTTCTTTCCCTTTTACTTCCTCTACAGTGAAAAGAGAAAGAAAGAGCTATTGAGCTGTGCGTCAACATTATTTTCGTCGGAGTTAAAGTCAATACGTTTGTAAGAAATCAGGCAAATCAGTGCAGAAATCTATGACAACTATCTTGCACCGATCATCGAGGATCGCTAGTTAAGAAACGATACATATCGAACAACGAGAAGGTGTCTTTCTACGAATACAGTAGCTCGGTTAAATGGTTTGAATGTTAGAAAATGTACGTGAAAAATAAGGTCTCCTTTCGTTCACAACAATTGTAATGATTTATAGTTAATATAATGATTTATAGTAAATATCATAAATGATAATTTTGACGATCTATCTATCATTATAATTACCACGATAATAATACCTGCTGTATTTGACAAAGAACGTCTGATATAAAATATCTTCAATCTGAATTTTAAACAAAGTGGTTTTAATGAATTGGAATTTGTGAACCGAGCGAGAAAACTGAGATGGCATAGAATGTTTTATATCATTAAAGAGACAAGGGTCGAAAGAAACTGACACCACTCGACAGACATATCGCTTATCAGTGAATAACAGATACCATAGTTTTAGAGAGCATTTTCGACTTCGAAATTTTAACTTCCTACCCGTACGATTAATGACTAAACAATATCGCCTAGTTAGCGTAACGTGTAACTTGTAATTTGTAAAATATCTGTAAATATTGTTGCAATGTACAAAAAGAAAACTATTTCCAGGAATCCAACGAAATGACATTAACGTCATTCTAGAGTGAAAATTATATACATAGATGTAAATAATCGTAGAGCGTCCGTAGCGCATCCGTATTATCGTATCAGCGCCATCCAATTTTTTAACGTAATCTCGATCGGGAATGCACGAGTTTACGTTTTCCCTATCTATTTCGTGGACAAGCAATTGAATTTTTTGCGAATCCGTTCCATTCTTCGCTTAAGACGAAAGCTAAATAAATAACCAGTCACGAAAGCAAAAGTAGGCAGATGAAAACGTTAAAAAATTGGATCGCACGCGATCTGTATAAAAACGTATATAGTTGATTTGGATCGTTTGATAAGCCGGCCCGAAACAAATCTCATACAACTCACGAAAGTATACGAAGCATATACCAGATTGAAATCCCAGTTAGTCCAAAAAGTTTTGCAGCAGTTTACGAACGTAGATCGTATCGTTTCGTCAAAACGGAAATATCGTTAAAAGTTATTATTATAAAGAGTTCCTTTTTGCATATCGACTTGGTATGTACTTTTCTTCTAGAAAGTGCATTCTTTGTCCCGGAGCCGAGCGCTCTGTGATCTTGTGATGTTGATTATATATATATATATATGTATATCGATTGTAACTTTTTGGTTCAATCACGTCACGTCATCTTTTATGAGACGCGTTGTTCTTGTACGCACGCGAAGACACAACACGCATACTCGCGCGTATGAACACTCGTCAATGTATATTGAAATAAATTAAACTTACTTTTTGAGAATTAAAGATCTTGATAAGATATTTCTATTCTATATATTCCATTCTTTACCCATATGATCCTTGACTTTAACCTAACCTAACCTAACCTAAGTAATTAATGCAGAAAAATATAATACTTTGATTCCTTTGAATCAATCGTCATTGTTTAAAATTAAAACTTTTGCATTTGTAATACATTCCCTAAATAAATTACATAACGGAAGAATTAGCGAAAAATCAAAGAAATTAATATGTTAGAGTAGCAGTATTATTTAATATTAAAATAATATTGCTTAATTAAATAAGAAGAATACCAGACAATAACGTTAAAATTATTTACATTAATTGATATAATTATCGCGACTTCTTAATGACTGCTTTTTAATAATTACTGTGCAAAAGTAATGATTTTACTATTACATATTTTCGATATCAAATATCAGAATAATAATCCATTATTATAAGGGAAATCTGTGACAAAAAAGATAGAAAATATTTTGCATAATATGTTGATCGTCGAACTTGTTAGTTGGGAACCTATTTGTCCCAGGAGAGAGCAGACCGGAATCAACAAATAGCGAAACAAGATCTGGAGGACCACTCCAAAGCGATTAGTTCACATGGTGTCCCATTACCTCCCGCCGCCGTTTGGCGGCGGGTATGATGCACGTTATTGTGAGGCTGTTTGTGTTATTAGATTTAGATTGGCTGGCACGTGGCGCGTGGCAAGGGTGCCGCGTGCCGCATTGCAAACGTTACAACGTGGGTACAATACAAAATCGTTTTTCTTCAAATACTGGTTTCTTTGGCTTCTTTGGCTTCCCATAGAAGGGTATCGATTTTCACTTGCAGCACGCGACTGCTATTGTAACACATGCTGTTACAATAACGCGCTAATTTCTCCGATATGTAATTTATTAAGAGAGTACGTGTTTTACAAATTTAATTTCGCATATAAATCTAAAGTTTCTCTATTTTCGAGGATTAAAAATCAGTACTAAATTCTACTAGAAACACCTGCTTTTCGAATTATAGATACGCATTTTCAGAAATATTTGCGAGAAGCTAAATAAACGAGATAAACTAATTCCTTCCCCTTTCTTATATTTTCGAATATTTAAACGTATTCAAACAACCTTAGATTTCAGCCCTTTGCATAAAGATACAGACGCTTTCAACTCGCCGCAGTCTACCAGTTTAGTTTTCTGACACGTGCTGTTTCATAAAATTATGCGACGCAACGTGGTTGCAATTTGATTAGAATAAAAAGATCAAAGGAACAAAATGTGCAATTTTATGAAAAGTCTCTACAGAAAACTTATATTTTTCCTTTATACCTAAATCTTTTTTTATAAAAACGGAAATATATAATTAAAGTATTTATTGCTTTAAATTTTGGAATATAAAAGTTTGATATTGTTCACTTTCTACCGTCCGACTGTCTACAACTTTATCGCAGCATCACCATGCGCTTTCTTTATCATTATTATGTTATCGAAGCTGTGAGCTCGAGTTGCGTGTCAAAGGGGATGAACATTCAGACAAGCTGGGATAAGAGCAATCCGGTGATCCACCCTTGACAGTTCATCGCGATAAGATCTGCTCGTGCAACGAGCTCCATTCGTATTCTGTTTGCTTTCTGGGACCTACGATGTCGCAAATCCATTGTATCCCCAGTGATGCGAAAGAATATTACCATCTGCTTATTACCAGTAATCTTGGTTCAATGGTATCGAATATCTCTAACTTTGTCAGAGAAGAGCGAATCTCGTCAACAAACAATCAACAAATGTTTGAAATATCGCTCGTTCACTTTTTCAAACACGATAACAAAAATCATTTATGTATTCGATTTTGCAAAAAATATAACAAATATTTTTATTAAAAAATTTAAAAAATTAAATACTCCGAATTTTTTCATCTCCATTTTATGTAAAAATTTTATAGTATGTATAAATATAAAAAAAAGAAATATATTATTTCCTACTTTTAAATTTTCTACCTTAAAAGACATGTTATTTACTTTTGGGGCTTCTTTTCCGCGTTGCTAATTGGTCGATTCGTGTTGCGCGTTACAATGTCGCGTTCATGATTTTATTTATTACTGATCGGTTGTCATCGAGACAATATATATATTTGTTATTTATAATGCAATAATAATATTGCAAAAAATAATAAAAAACTTTGTACAGTATTTTATTAAATTAATTTTAAAAATTATAAAAAATAATTATGAAAGGACATTTAGTGTATTTATATTCAGTTTAATTTAATTTCATTTAATTAATTATTTAAACTTAATAAAATTAATTATTTTAATTAAAATTTTGCTAATTATTCTTTAATGGATATAGATAACTAAATTAACATATAGTATATATACTTATATATATATAGAGTATACATGCAGTGTATAAGTACACATACACATAAGTACGCATACATAAAAGGCACACACACAATATACATATAGATATAATGTATGTACAGCACCACAGCTAAAACAAAAATTTTTAATATTAAGTTTCACTATTAAAAGTCAATATTAAATATTAAAAAAAAAAAAAGAAAAAAATAATTTTGAACTACACAAAGTGTTTTGTCTAGTGTATTATTAGTTATATCTATACATTAGACTTAATTAATATTAATTGATAAAATTTAAAACTAAATCTAATTTACTCGTAGTTTAGGATTAAGTCGCAATTAGCCAATTAAATTAGTAAATTTATAATATAAAACTAATAAGTCATTGAATAAAACTAAAAGTATGTTTATCGTATACACAAGAAATATAAATATTATATGTATAAGAATAAAAGACATCAATATTGAAAAATATATAAAAATTCATGCATTTAAAAAAATAAAAAAAGATATTCATTCGGAAACAAAGCATTTTTGAGAAAAATATTTCAAATAAAAGTAGTAGAGTTTTAAATGGCGCATTAAGAAGCAATGTTAGAGTGACTTTAAACAGCATTGTTAAGGGCATGTAAAAATCACTTTGAAAGTTTTAAATAGAAACCCCCATTTTTTATTACATATTCTTGTAGATTACCTCAAGAGATTTCCAAAACACTATAATGAAGTTCTTTTCCATTGGAAATTTTCCGAGTTATGAGGCTTGAAAGTTGAACGGCGAAAGAACGGTAGGAGTGACAGAGAAAAAGAATGAGGCAACGCGCTGATGTGCTCAACGCGCTTCTTTCTCTCTCACTCTACTATTACTTTCAAGCCTCATAACTCGAAAAATACTTAACGGAAAAGAACTTTCTTATAGTGTTTGAAAAGCTGTCAAAGTCAGCTACAAGAATATACAATCAAAAATGGAGGTTTCTATTTAAAAATTTGAAAGTGATTTTTACGTGACCTTAACAATGCTATTTAAAGTCAAATTAACATTACTACTTAATGCACCAGTTAAAACCCTACAACTTTTATTTAAAATATTTTTCTCAAAAATGCTTTATTTTCGAGATATTTGCACTTACGGGATTTTCGGAACACTAGGTATATTGTATTGACGAAATTTGCCCCTCCTTTCGGAGAAAGGATGTATCTTCGAAACATGTTTTCAACGTTGACATTAACGCTTAGCGTTACTTACTTGCAAGTGTGACACAAGTGTTATATCAAGAGCAAATAATTTTAACTGTGTGCTTTTGCATCTTGAAAGAGAGAAATTTTTCAGAGATGTCCAGTACACGCAACGTAAGTTTATAATATATTTTGGCTATTTTTTATTTTAAGACATAGGAAGAAACATGCATTCACATGTACTGTAATATGTTTACATACGTTATAACGTTCTGTAACGTCTTATCCTTACTAAAATCTTATTCAACTGCTAAATGTTAATATGAACTACAATACATTCACTGCTATACTCGCAAATTTATTTGTTTGGTAGTTTACATTAATTTATATTTATTCTCAAATTATTTTAAACTAATTATTAATTCTTATAGGCTAGCAGTCAACATCCGAAAAATAAAACATCTTTGAATTATGTTCGAGATTTTCTGGCAATGAAAAAACAGATGTCGAGGATGCAAGAATTTCTGATCAAAACAGAATGCGAAGTAAGAACATTTAAGCTTTCAATAAAACAGATAAAAACTAATATACTATGTAGTTATATAATAAAATATTACGATATATATTTATATTATCCATATAAATAAAGATTCGCAAGCTTATAGACCAAAATATAAATAAATATATAAAATAATTTAAACATATAATATAAAAATATGAAATATAAAGTGTTAAATAAAATGTGATCTTTCTATTTTCTTATTTTACAAAAAAAGTTACAGATTTAAAATAAATGTCATTACTAAAACAGAAACAAAATTTATGTAATAAATTACATAAATAATTAACATGTTTATCACAGTGTACAATTTTCTATGTTTATTAGCAGGCAACACGTCATTTAATATATGATATTCTGTTTCATGAGTGGGTTAAGTTGAACGTATTAAAAATTAAAGTAGCTGTTAAATAAACCATGCTATATGCAAATTAAAATACATGCAAAATTGATCAAATCATTGTGATGATACAAAAAATTAGAAAAATATGAACGAACAAATTATTTGGATATCTTCCAGTAAATTTAACATGATTATTTTAGGAATCACAATTCTGTGAGGAAACAGGCTTGGCGCTCCATTTGAAGAAAGATTTTCGTCAAATCACCGGTAGCTGCCATGCACGCAGTGCACTTTGTACTTTGTTAAATCTTTCGAACGAGCATAAACAAAATGGTGTGATAACGGCTTTGGAAGAGGACGCTCTGCCTTTATGTTATTTTGGAGAAAAATTGAATATACCAGTAACAATAGTGCTGCCAAACACAACATTATTAAATAAAATTTATGCATTAGAGCAGTATCAATATACCAACACAACATTATTTATCGAAGGCAACAATTCAGATGAAGCCGAAAAAATCGCTTCTGATTTAGCAAAAATGAACAACATGTATTGCATTAAAAGGTATGCAAATTTCATTTACATTTCCAAAACATATTAGTGAATTTTCTTTAATCAATTTGTCGGATAAATCTAACATTACATTAAATTAACATAATGATAATATCACGCCTAAATTTTTAATGCAGTATATATATATATATATATATATATATATATTATTTAAAGACTGTATGTTAAACTTAATTTATTTTTTTAATATATCAAACATATATTAAAATATATTTAAAAAATAAATAGAAGCGTTAAAATTTAAAAGATGATTTGATGTAATGATACTATTAATGTGATTACATTTTCATTGAAATTACATTACTTCATTTTTAGTAAACTAACTGATCTAATTTGTTTTCCTTGGATCATTAATTCTTTTATTGTTTTTACGAAGATTTCACTTGACTTTAATAGTAATTCTTCGAGTTTACTTTCTTAAATAAATTACTTTCTCAAAAGACATTTTTCGTGTAGAGATGATAGAGCGAGATTCATTGGCTATGGAACTATAGCTATAGAAATTGCCGAGCAAGTGCCAAATCTTGACATAGTTGTGGTGCCATATGACGAACCAATATTCACAAGTATTGTATCGGTCATGAAAGTTCTTAAACCATCTGTCAAAGTTATCGTAAGTCAATGTACATATTTCAATTACAATATTAATATAAAATATTGTTTAATACTTTACTTTATTATAATAATAGATTGCAGCAGACAAAAGTATCAATTCAATGTCAATATCCTCTTCAAAGTTCTTTCAATCAATCCAACTATCACCTTCGACATTGCCGACACCAAATTCTGCGTCAAATCAAGTTATTTCGACAAGCTCGACACCATCTGCTGTATCAGACATGTATATGTCACCTTTTTTAAGCAGATCAATATTTACGTTAATTCAAACAGTTCACACACTATCTTCTGCAATTAAATCGATACTATCTTCTGTATCAACTAAAATGTTATCCTCTTCAACTAAACCGATATCATCTTCTGCGTCAATTGAAAAATCATCCTCTTCAATTAGACCAACACTATCTTCTGCGTCAGTCAAAAAATTATCCTGTTTATCTGGACCGACTCCATCTTCTGTGTCAGTTAAAACATTATCCTCATCAACTGGACCGACACCATCTTATGCGTCAGTCGAAATATTATCCCGTTCAACTGGACCGACACCATCTTCTGTGTCAGTCGAAATATTATCGTGTTCAACTGGACCGACACCATCTTCTGCGTCAATTGAAATATTATCCTGTTCATCTGGACCGACACTATCTTCTGCGTCAATTGAAATATTATCCTGTTCATCTGGACCAATACCATCTTCTGTGCCAATTGAAACATTATCCGGTTCAACTGAACCGACACCATCTTCTGCGTCAGTTGAAATATTATCTTGTTCATCTGGACCGACACCATCTTCTGCGTCAGTCGAAATATTAGCCTATTTATCTGGATCGACACTATCTTCTTCGTCAATTGAAACAGTATCCTCATCAAATGGACCGATACTATCTTCTGCGTCAGATCAAATATCATTGCCTTCAACTAAACGGAAATCAATTAAAATATCTCCATCTTCTTCAAGTAAAACGACATCTTGTGGACCAACTCAAACGTTATCCTTTTTAAAAAACTCAACTTCACCGCAAACGTCATCAAGTTTGCCGAAGTCACAAAAAGAAAAGCCATTAATTAATAAAGACATGGACATTACTGTAGTTGTATTAACGGATGAGGAGATAGATACTTCGATCTTAAAATTATTTAAGAAAGAACGATGCATTGTAAATAGAGTCGGTGTGATGAGTTTAGCGGCTTGCTTAAAGGCTGATGGCCCTTCGTTTGAAGCGTATAAAAATAAAAGGTGAAAGTAAATTTGATAAACTTTCTTTAATTTAATGACTTTCTTAAAAATAATTATATTTAACAACATATAAAACTAAGATTTAAATTTTTCATAGAAAATCTCGAATAATTTATTTTTTGTGGCAGTATGTTGTATTATGACAATATATTTAAATAAATTTGATTTTTTTAAATTTAAATCACTCTTAAATTTTTTAATTGCAGATCTATTATAGTATAATCGTATAATCGTAGACATATTAACGTGTTATCGTTATAGTAGTTGATCTTTGATTGTCAGCGTAATATAAAAATTCTGTATTTCAGGGTGGTGTCCCTATTGACCAGTTGTAATGACGATATATTAGTTTTACCCACAATTTTGGAGCAAGCATTATTGAAAGAGCATCAGCTCGCGAAAGTGTCAGCGGAAGTTCCGCAAGATGAATTGCATCCTACTACAGAATTAGCTAATGCCCTGACGAATAACGTATCTATGAAGAAAATGGCAATATGTTGCAATATAGCAATATTTTGTATTATAACCATATGTTTAATTGCAATTTATTCAAACAATAATTGGTAGCGTTTAATATGAAAATTGATGCCGTCTGTGAGTCCTGAATTTTTGAATGGAACATAGACTTGGAAAATTTTACAAATGCTACACAAGCTCCACAAGTATAATCGAAAAATAATTATCGGATATGAACAATACTAGCCAGATATTTCTACATCGAATTCGTAAAGTATCGAGTCATTAATTTTTTTACAATATTTTATATACATTCTTCAATATTGATGTGTTTTATTTTTATATAATAATTTATTTATTTATTTTTTTTTTTTTTTGTATAAACGATAAACTTTTAGTTTTATTTAATGACTTATTAGTTTTAAATTTGTAAATTTTAAAAAATTTACTAATTTAACTAGCTAATAGCAACTTAATCTTAAATAAAATTAAATTTAGTTTTAAATTTTGCCAACTAATGTTAATTAAGTTTAATGGATAGCTACAATTAATTATACACTATGCATGTACAAAACACTTTGTGTAGCTCAAATTTATTTTTCTCTTCTTTTTTAATATTTAATAGTTTATTTAAAACTTTATTTAAAACTAACAAAAGCTGATAACATAAGCATCTGGTTAATAAAACATCAAATAATGTATTATCCAAATAAAAAAGAACTCCAGTAATTTTAGAATTTAAAATAAAAATATAAGATTGCAACTATAGAAAGTAACAAATATAAAATAAAATGCAATGTAATTTATTTTTTTTGTATAAGAAAAAAAGATTTCAAATAAATTTAATTATTAAGAATGATATAAAGATTAGGTAATAATACATATGTGAATTAATCAGTAATTCGAAATTTAAGTGGCTATGAAATTAATCATGCTATATGTCAATTATAGTTTTACTATAACACACCATATGTGCTATAGATATATACTTGATAAGTACGCATTTTTCATGAGAATAAAAGTAATTATATAAAATTCTCATTTACATTCAATAAGAATTTTATATATATGCTATTTTATCGTACATTATGGCTTATACATTATATGTACATGATAATTGGTATCAATTTTGAAAACGGATAATTTGGAGTTTTATTTTGAAATAAAATTTGCATATATAATGAGATATAAATGATTATATTTTAATTAAAAAATCACAATTTTTAAATAATTTAACGTGACTTATTTATATGCAATATTTTATTTTAATATTATAAGTAAAAAAAAAAATATTATATATATATATATATATAATAAATATGCATATAAATATATATATATAATTTTTTACAATTACTAGGTTCTGGAAAGTATCACATAACTCGTGCATTTAAAAAATGATATCAATTCGGAATATCCAAATGCTACGATAGTCTATAACATAATGGATGAACTATTATCAAGCGAAGCAGAAAGCCAATTTTCCAAACATAATATCATGTCAGACATCTCTACACCAACAGATTTTTTTAAAGACTTTATTTAAATGTATTTTCGAATATCAGTTTTTTGTTTTTATATCAAATATTTCCTTGATTCACATAATGTACATACCTATTTTTAGCTTTAATTAAGAACTTTTTAATTTTAAATCAGTAATTTGCTAATTATACTTAAATTAATTAAATTTAACTTAACGTACGTAACAATTATATTATTGAATGTAAATTTATTTACTGGGTAATATTGTTAAGTAAGTTTAATTAAATTATTTATATAATTAATATCATTATATGATTCTTAATTGCAATTTTTTTAATTAACATTAATAAAATATAATTTCTTGGCGTATGTAATCATTTTTTTTTTTTCACGGTATGCTTCGTGTACGTTTACACGGCATATTTTCCTCTTCTTACTTGTTCAAAGACGTTAACTTGTCTAAATATTTTTACATATTAAGACGATACAACTATTGGAAAGAAAACAAATACAAATTTTGGGAAAGATAGAATGATATACATATATTGTATTGACGAAGTTTGCCCCTCCTTTCGAAAGAGGGATAGATCTTCAAAACGTTTTTATAACGTTGACATTAACGCTTAGCGCTACTTACTTGCAAGTGTGACACAAGTGTTATATCAAGAGCAAATAATTTTGACTGTGGCTTTTGCATCTTGAAAGAGAGAAATTTTTCAGAGATGTCCAATACAGATACCGTAAGTTTATGATATTTTTTGGCTATTTTTGATTTTATGACATAGGAAGAAACATGTATTCACATATGCTGCAATATATTTACAAAACGTTATAACGTTCTGTAAGGTCTTATCCTTACTAGGATCTTGTTCAACTGCTAAATGTTAATATGAACTACAATACATTCGACGCTATACTCGCAAATTTATTTGTCTGGTAGTTTACATTTATTTATATTTACTCCTAAATTATTTTAAGGTAATTATTAACTCTTACAGGCTAGCAGTCAACATTCAAAAGATGAGGCACCATTGAATTGTATTCAAAGTTTCCTAAGAATGAAAGATCAGATGTGGAGGATGCAAAAGTTTCTTGTCAAAACAGAATGCGAAGTAAGAACATTTAAGTTTAACTTTTAGTAAAACAGATAAAAACTGCTAATATATATATATAGCTGGATAATAAAATATTACATGATGTATATATTACCCAGATAAATAAAAATTCGCAAGTTTATAGGTGCAAATATATAAAAATATATAAAATAATTTAAATATATAATATAAAAGTAAGAAATATAGTGTTAAATAAAATGTGATTTTTATATTTTCTTATTTTACAAAAAGAGTAATAGATTTAAAATAAATTTTATTGCTAAAACAAAAACAAAATTAATGTAATAAATAACATGTTTATTGCGGTGTAAAATTTTCTATGTTTATTAGCAGGCAACGCGTCATTTAATATACAATATTCTGTTTCACGTGTAAGTTAAGTTAAACGTATTGAAAATTAAAGTAGCTATTAAATAACACATGCTATATACAAATTAAAATTTAATGCAAAATTAATGAAATCATTGTAATAATACAAAAGATTAGTAAAATATGAGCTAGAACAAATTAATTGTATATCTCAGAGCAAATTTGACATAATTATTTTAGAAATCACAATTCTGTGAGGAGATGGGGTTGGAGCTCTATTTGAAAAACGATTTTCGCCAAATCACAGGTAGCTGCCATGCACGCAGTGCACTTAGTACTTTGTTAAATCTTACGCCCGAGCAGAAACAAAATGGTGTGATAACGGCTTTGGAAGAGGATGCTTTGCCCCTATGTTATTTTGGAGAAAAATTGAAAATACCAGTAACAATAGTGTTGCCAAACACAACGTTATTAAGTAAAATTCATACATTGGAACAGTACGAATATACTACATTACTTATCCAAGGCAAAAATTCAGATGAAAGCGAAAGAATGGCTTCTGAAATGGCAGCAATGAACAACATGTATTGCATTAAAAGGTATTCGAATTTATTTACATTTCCAAAACATATTGATGAATTTTCTTTATTCGATTTGTCAGATAAATTTAATATTTCATTAAATTAATATAATAATAATATCACATACCTAAATTTTTAATGCAATTTTTAATTTAAAAATAGTATGTTAAATTTAATTTATTTTTTTAATGTATTAAAAATATATTAACACCAAATAAATTAAAGCATTAACATTAAAAAAAAAATTTAATGTAATAATACTATAAATGTGATTACATTTTTATTGAAATTACATTACTTTATTTTTATTAAAGTAACTGATCTAATTTTTTTTCCTTGGATCATTAATTCTTTTATTGTTTTTACGAAGATTTCACTTGACTTTAATAATAATTCTTCGAGTTTACTTTCTTAAATAAATTACTTTCTCAAATGATATTTTTCGTGTAGGGATAGTAGAGCGAGATTCATTGGCTATGGAACTATAGCTATAGAAATTGTCGAGCAAGTGCCAAATCTTGACATAGTTGTGGTGCCATATGACGAACCGATATTCACAAGTATTGTATCGGTCATGACAGTTCTTAAACCATCTGTCAAAGTTATCGTAAGTCAATATACATATTTCAGTTACAATATTAATATAAAATACTATTTAATATTGTGCTTTATTATAATTTTAGATTGCAGCAGACAAAAGTATTAATTCAACGTCACTATCTTATTCGAAAATCTTTCAATCAATCCAACCATCATCTCCGACACCAGATTCTCCAGCATCAAAAGAAACTGTTTCAATAAACCCATCATTTGCGGGGTCAGTCGTCGGGTACACGTCATCATTTGCAAGCCAATCCATATCAATATTTTCGTCAGTTGAAACATTATCTTCTACAACTGAATTGACACCACCTCTTGCATCAATTGAAGCGCATTCCTCTTCAACTAAACCGACGGTATCTTCTGCACCAGCTGAAATGTTATTCCCTTTAACTAAACCGAGATCATCTTCTGCATCAGATGAAATATCATTGCCCTCAACGCCTAAACGGAGATCAATTGAAATATTACCTTCTTCAATTAGAAAGACATCTAGTGGGTCAGCTCAAAACTCGTTACCCTTTTTAAAAGACTTAACTTCATCACAAACGTCATCAAGTTTGTCGGAATCACAAAAAGGAGAGCCAATAGTTTATAAAGACATGGACATTACTGTAATTGCATTAACGGATGAGGAAGTAGATACCTCGATCTTGAAATTATTTAAGAAAGAACGATGCATTGTAGATAGATTCGGAGTGATGAGTTACGCGGCTTGCTTAAAGGCTCTTGACTCTTCGTTTGAAGCGTATAAAAATAAAAGGTAAAATTAAATTTGATAAACTTTCTTTAATTTAATGACTTCCTTTAAAATATTTATATTTAATAACATATAAAACTAAGATTTAAAATTTTTATTGTAAATCTCAAATAATTTACTTTTTATGACAGTACGTTGTATTATGATAATATATTTAATTAAATTTTGACTCTTTTTTAATAAATCACTCTTAAATTTATTAATTGCAGACTTATTATCGTATTATAATCGTATAATCGTGGTCATATAACGTGTTACTGTTATAATTGTAGTTGATCTTAGATTGATAGTATAATATGAAAATTCTGTATTTCAGGGTGGTGTCCCTATTGACCAGCTGTAACGACGATATATTAGTTTTACCCACAATTTTAAAGCGAGCATTATTAAAAGAGCATCAACTCGCGAAAGTGTCAGCGGAAGTTCCGCAAGATGAATTGCATCCTACTACAGCTAATGCCCTGACAAATAACGCATCTATAAGGAAAATGGTAATGTGTTGCAATATAGCAATATTTTGTATTATGACAATATGGTTAATTACAATGTTTGCAATGAAGATTTAGTAGCATTTAATATGAAAATTGATGCTGTCTGTGAGTCCTGAATTTTTGAAAAGAACATAGACTTGGAAAATTTTACAAATGCTACACAAGCTCCACAAGTATAATCGAAAAACAATTATCAAATATGAACAACATCAGCCAGATATTTCTACTTCAAATTCTTAAAGTAAACTTCAAGTCATTAATTTTTTTGCAATATTTTATATACAATCTTCAATATTGATGTGTTTTACTTTAATATGCTAATTTATATTTTTCTTTTGTATAAACGATAAACCTACTCTTAGTATTAACGACTTAATTAGTTTTAAACTGCTAATTTGCATATTTACTAATTTAACTAGTTAATGACGACGTTATTTTGAATGAAATTAAATTTAGTTTTAAACTTTATCAACTTATGTTAATTAAGTTTAATGAATACATATGACTAATAATTATACACTAGATACTATATACTATACATATACATTTACTAAACACTTTGCGTAATTCCAAATTATTTTTCATTTTTTTTTCAATAGTGAAACTTAATGTCAAAAATTATCGTTAGTACAGTACTATATACATATATAAATGGTATATATATATATATATATATATATATACTATATATATATATATAT